ATAAGGAATAAGAAAAATATTTTAAAGCACTTCCAATAGATGGAGCTTTTGAATTTGAGGCTACTAAAGTCTTTCATTAGAATGAGGATCTCAGCTCCGGCCAATGAAAATAGGAGCAGTTGCGTGGTGTGGACCAGTTGAAGGGGTGCTGAAAATTAATGTGTATGGTGCCTACCAGAGGAGTCCAGATAGAAGAGGGATTGGTTTGGTCGTTTGAGATTTTACTAGTTGGTTTGTCATGGCTCGTGCACTAGCAATTGGTTAGGTTTGTGATGCTCGAGTAATGGAAGCTATGGCTATTCACGAAGCATTGTATGCCAGATTGGAAATGGGTTTTCTTTATATTGTTGTGGAAAGTGATTCGTAGCAAGTTATTTCAGCTTTGAATCGATTGTGGGAAGGGGGAAATCGAGTAGGAATTGTTGTAGAGGATGTGAAGGTGTTGCAAAGGGGCTTTGGGTTGTGTAGTTTTGGGTTTGTGCCTAGGGAATGTAATGGAGCTGCTCATGAGCTACCAAGATTTGGTGTTGAGGAGGGTAGAAGTTGTACCTAGAAAGGTAGGACTCTACCTTGGCCGTTTAGTCTAGGGATGCAACTTGATGGGCTTAACCCGAGCAACCCGAGTCCAGTCCAAAATTTTTTAGGACTTGGACAAAATATTTTTGAATTTAGTACGGGCTTGAGCAAAAAAAAAAAAAAAAATAGAAGCCCGAATTAAATTTAGGCGGGCTTGGAAAGAGATATCAAACAATTTGAGCAATCCAAAACCCGAATTATATATATATGTGTAAATATATTAAAAAAATATTAAATATACATATAAATTATTAATCATTGGATAATATTAAAGTAATTTAGATCATTAGATCATATTGAATATATATTATACACACAAGTAATACAATACAAAATTTTATTTATTTATTTTTTCTTACTCATAAATTGTAAAGACCATTATAGCGGCATCTCTCTTAAATTATATAAGTAATTTATTTTGATGTTATTAATCATTTTATAAAAAAAATTTGTAAATAGAGTCTGATTTTAAAAATTTATTAACTTAGATGCACTAAAAAAAGAAAAAGAATTTAAAAAAAGAAAACTAAAATTTATTGTGCAATGTGGACAACTTGAGTTTAACTCGGATTGGGTTTGGACAAATGATAATTGCCGAAATGTACATATTTGGGCCCTCTTTACCTATACTATTGACTCTATTATGGTGATAACTTGATACATTTAAATACAATTCATGTGAATTAGGTTAATCTAGACCAAGGTGCAAAAACAAGCCAAGGAAGCCACACCACATGTGCGGCACAAAGAAAAACATCATTTCGCCTTTGCCTTGAACCGCACGTGTGGCAACATTTTCCATATGTGCGGCTCACCTCAACTTGTGTACGTGACTTCCTAAACCTGTTTTGAGTGTCTGAAAAGTATAAAAAGAAGAAGAGAAAGCTAAACAAGGGTTCAAATATTTTTTTGAAGAAAGAGGGAGGCTAGGGTTTGGAAGAGAAGACTTGGACTTCAAAGTGGTGCTTCCATGGCGGCTTCAACGTCTTCTTCATCTTTCCATTCCTCTATGAGTTGCTCAGCTTCTATTTCTAGGGTTTCGATGAAACCCTAACCAAGCAAATAAAGTTTTTCTTAGGTTTTTTGTTGTTGTAATGGTTTGAACAAGTTGTACGGTGTTTTAGAAGTTTTTCAATATATTTTCTACTATTTTCTTTAATTTTTCTATTTTTTGTGATTGTTGAATAGGAATGGCAACGGGGTGGGGCGAGGCCGAGGATCACCCTCCCCGTTCCTGATCCCCGATGGCCAAAACTTCCTCGTCCCCGGCCCCGATCCCCGACGGGGAACCTTTCACAGTCCCCATCCCCGTCCCCAACGGGGATCGGGTTTCCCCAGTGAAAGATCGGCACGAAGCTCTCCAGTGAGAGATCAAGTGAGAGAGTTGAGAGAGTGAGAGATCGGCGATGGAGATCGACACGAAGCTCTCACTGGAGATCGACCAGTGAGAGAGAACGAGAGTTGAGAGAAGAACGAGAGTAAGAGTGAGAATGAGACCGAGTGAGAGAGTTGAGAGACAGAGAAGAACGAGAGTTGAGAGAGTGAGAGATAAGAACGAGAACGAGAGTGAGAGTGAGACCAGTGAGAGAGAAGAACGAGAGTGAGACGCACGGGTTTATTATATATATATATATATATTATTTATAAGGGGTATAAAAGTAATTTTATTTCGGGAAATTTCGGGGATGGGGTCGGGGCCGGGGCCAGGGCCGGGGCCGGGGACGGGGCCGGCCGGGGCTTGAACACTGATCACCGTCCCCGGACCGAAACAGATCGGGGATTGATTTTCAAATACCGTCTTCTCCCCGTCGGGGGTATTTTTCGGGAAAAAACCGCTAAAATCGGCGTCGGGACCAGGGATCCCCGTCGGGCCGGTTTCAAATTGCCATCCCTATTGTTGAATGTTTTTTATACAATTTTTATCTTTTCTTTCATATTCAAAGTATGAAACGAGTCATGCTACGACAGACGAGTCATCCTCCTACCCTAGTTTAGAGTAAATGACTCATACTACTTGAGACAATTTGTGCCTATATGTTGAATGCAATAATCTTTTTGATCATTACTTCAAGCTTGTAGTTGTGAAGTATTATGTACTTTGAACCGTAGCACAATCGATTTCCAATTTTAAACATTATTTATGTAACTAATTTCATTGCCCTAGAATTTTTCCCAATTAATATCTCAAACCATAATTTTCATTGTTAATTTAATTTCTCTTTTTTATTTAAATTCTCATTTCAATATAATTCCCATCAATCTTTTTATCAAAATTAAATTAAGAATCTTGCAAGTTAAATTAGTTTAATTTTATAGTAGTCGACGTAGATCGATACCTAGATTTACCACTATTCTAAAGAATTTAGGTATAGTTTAGTGTTTATTTTTCGTGTGCAAAACGACCCATCAACAAACAACCTCGGGTTATAATTCGGGATTGGGTAAACCTAGGTAGCTCTTAACACACTTGAGCTGGATTTGAATAGTCTCTCAATCCGTCCGAACCCACTCGAATTGCATCATTGATGGCTGTAATGTTTAAGTGTGTGTTTGATTGTTTGTTCTAGTTTGCTATCTTTTGAGCAAAAAAAAAGTGATTACACTGGATTTGATTTAAAGTGTAGGGCTTATCTACCGTGAAAAAGTGAAAAATTTAATAAAATTGCAATAGTAAAGCTAAATTATAAATACCTCCACTAAAATTATACCCTATAAAAAATTATAAGTATTGTACATAATTTTTTTCTAAATGTAAATTATAAATATACCCTCTAAAATTTATTTAAAATACAAATTGTTTCTTGTAATTTTAAAAATTTAAAATACCTTTGTTAGAATTTTTTTATTTAAGAAAATTAATAAAAAAAAATAAAATTTGTAACTACTCTTCTATATAACAATAAAATTATCTACATTATTAATTGAGATATATCTCTACATCATTAAAAAAAATTAATTGACTTGATAATTTATTAATAAAAAGAATATTTTATTATGTAATTAGAAACTTAAAAGTGTGGCATGTAATTTCTAAAATCACAAGAAACAATTTATATTTTAAACAAATCTCAATGTGTATATTTATAGTTTACCTTATTTAAAAAGAAAACACAAACACAATGTTTCATTTTCAATTTTCAATTTTTTTTTTTTTAGAGTTTTCAATTCTTATTTTTATATTTTTGATAATTTTTAAAAATATTTTAATCAGTTTTTTTTATTTAGTTTTTACATTTACTTAATCTTAATCTTAATCTTAATATACTTAAAAAGTAAAAAATTTATACAAATTTTTTTAAAAAAATTCATTGAATACAACAAAATATGAAGAAGTATTGAATTTTTATTTTCATTTTTTATATATATATTTTTTGTATTTGGTGACTTTTTATCCTTACAAATATTTTTTGAACGCTTAGTAATTTAGTGATGTGAACTTGTATATTTTACAACATGAATATTTACATTGATGTGTGAATATTCATATTGCCAGCGATGTTAACATCACAGAACATTGACACTGTTAATGTGAATATTATTATTAGGGACAGTTTGATAACTATAGAAAAAAATATAAATTCATGGAAAACTTTACAAATTTAATAATTAATATTTATAAAATTTTCTATTAATTTATAATTACTTTTATGATATTGGGCATTCGACTGAAAAATCCAATTCTGTATTTTTTATACCTGGAGGTCCACACGTTTATTTCTTATGTCCGTAAGGACAAGCCTTTGCAAAATGATGAAAATATCCATTTTTATATATATGGTTCCCAAATCAAACCCTATCTAAACATTTCTCTCTCTCTCACTCCCCCTCTCCGCAACTCTCCATCTCTCTCTCTCTCTCTCTCTCTCTCTTCACCACTTCCATCCACCCTCCGTCGCAACCACAGTAGATAATTTTACCCTTACAAATATTTTTTGAACGCTTAATAATTTAGTGATGTGAACGTATATATTTTACAGCATGAATATTTACATTGATGTGTAAATATTCATATTGTCAACAATGTTAACATCACGGAATATTGACACTGTTAATGTGAATATTATTATTATTAGGAGTAGTTTGATAACTATAGGAAAAAATATAAATTCATGGAAAACTTTACAAATTTAATTATTAATATTTATAAAATTTTCTATTAATTTATAATTACTTTTGTAACATCCCACTTTTATGATATTGGGCATTCGACTGAAAAATCCAATTCTGTATTTTTTATACCTGAAGGTCCACACGCTTATTTCTTATGTCCGTAAGGACAAGCCTTTGCAAAATGATGAAAATATCCATTTTTATATATATGGTTCCCAAATCAAACCCTATCTAAACAGAGCAACAATCCTTTAGAATTTGTTTTTTAGAGTGGTGTGTTGTATGGTTGAGATTTAATGACAAGTCACATTAATTTTTTAACATTAAATTTCATCCATACAACACATCATTTTAGAAAACTTTAGGAAAAAAACCTTTAGAGGATCCTTGGTGATCTAAACAATTCTCTCTCTCTCTTCACCACTTCCATCCACCCTCCGTCGCAACCACAGCGGCCGCCGCCTCATCGCCGTACTCAACATCTTCATCAATCTTTGCGCTCTGTCGTCGACTCTTCCTCCTTCCATCATCGTCTTCCCTTTCCTCCGCAGTATGCTGCTCTGGCGGTGGAGCACGACACTAGAGCGTCGACCACCGCGCCGTCTCCAACGCAATGATCTGGCTCTTCTCTTCTCTCTTCATTTAGATCTGGTAGCACCGATGCGAAGATCATATATAGTAGCTTATTTTCTCTCTCCTCCTCTTATCTCTCATTTTCTCTGTTTTTGTTCTCACTCTTCTCAGATCTCCCCATCGGCGTCGTCGCTGCCGCTACCTCGACTCCTCGTCCTCCTCCTATGCTGGTGGCTTTGTCGGATCCTCTTCTTCTCCCTTATTTATTATTTTCTAAATGCATGCAAGTACAATAGTGTTTATATGTAAGAAGAGACTTACAAAAGCATAGGTGGGATGATCAGATGTGTGAGTGTTGGAGAAGAACTCAGTGAGGCAATTTTCAATGAGGGTCTTGCGGGAGGAGGTGAGTTGTGTGATTGGATCAGAGGCGATGAGTATCATGACAAATGCGGTAAAATTCGACATAGCTTTGTTAGGTATTCTTTCATTGGGTTTGTGTTTGGGGGTGTCGTCATTGTTGGCGTTTTGTAAGGGGTTTTAGGATGATTGTATTTGTAGGTAAGTTGATGGTGGAGCTAATAGTGGTGGTCGTAGTGATTTGGGCGTGGAGGGATTTATAATAGTAGAAAAAGAAGAAGAAAAAAAAGAAGTGATGAAAGTAAAAAAATTGGGAAGGCTGGCTATCAATTGTACAGATCTAGATCTGGTGTAATTTTTGGTTTTTTTTGGTTGTGTGAGTGTTTATCTGGTTCAGATCAAGTGTGTGTATTTATCTTTGGTAGTGCTTTGAACAGATAGAAATTGATTGGGATTTTGTTTTGTAGTTTGTTGTTGCTGATAAAAATTACACAGATAAAATTTGAGATCTGTTCAACTTTGAGATCTATTCAAAAATTGAATGGACAGATTGAGATAAACAAATTTTGTTCAATTTTTTGAACAGATAGAGAGAGAAATAGATAGAAAAAAAAAATTAATTTATTCTTTGTTGTTGTTGTTGTTGATGATTATTGCAACAGATAAAAAAACAACACAGCCACCACTAGATTTTAAACAGATAGAGACAGATTTTAAACAGATAAAGAGATAAAATTCACAAATTTTGAACAGATAGAGAGAGAAACTCACAAATTTTGAACAGATAGAAAAATAATTGAACAAATAAGAGAAAAAATTTAATAGATAAATATAAATTTAAACAGATAGTCAAAAATAATTGAACAGATAAAAAATAATTTAAATAGATATATATAAATTTTAACAGATAGATATAAATTTAAATAAATAGTCAAAAAAATCGACAGATAAAAAAAAATCAACAGATAAATTAAGAGATAAAATTAAAAATAAAAGTATCTTTTAAAACTAATAAAAGGACCTCTATCACCAAATTATTTCTTAAATGATAGACTGCTCACCAACAAAAAAATCCTCTCAACCTAATATCTTATAGGACTTTTCTTAAGTGTGCCTTGCATATGGTATGTAAGGCACTTATACCTTTCTATGTTACCTTTACACCTTTTTGGGTATTGAGTTATATCCAAATATTTGAAAACTAACACATTAAAGCAGATCACCAACAGGTAAATGAATAAAAGAATATATTATATGACTAAAAATGTAATTTTGTTAGAAAATGTGTAAATAATTTCACAAAATGTGTAAATTTTCACAGAAAGCGTAAATTTTAACAAAAGGCCTAAGTAATTTCAGAAAAAGGCGCAAGGAATTTTTGAAAATTCACACCGTTTGTGAAAACTTACTGCTTTTGTGAAAACTTTTTGTGAGAACTTACACTTTTTTGTGAAAGTTCTTACACTTTTCTAACAACTCACAACTTTTGTAAAATTGCTCACCAAAGGCGCAACTTTTGACAACTTACACATAATACTTACATCTTTTGTAAAACAAGTTATACTTTTTGTCAAAGTTACACCATATGTGGAACATTTTATTTCATAAAATTTTGACGACTTACACATAATACTTACATTTTTTGTAAAATAAGTTATACCTTTTGTCAAAGTTACACCATATGTGAATGACAACTTACACATAACACTTATATGTTTTGTAAAAAAAGTTATACCTTTTCTGAAAGTTACACCATATGTGAAAAATTTTATTTCAAAAAATTTTGACAACTTACACATAATACTTACGGCTTTTGTAAAACAAGTTATACTTTTCTAAAAGTTACACCATACGTGAATGACAACTTACACATAATACTTATATCTTTTTTAAAACAAGTTATACCTTTTCTGAAAGTTACACCATATGTGAATGACAACTTACACATAATACTTATATTTTTTGTAAAACAAGTATACATTTTCTGAAAGTTACACTATATAAATTTTAGTAAAAGATATAAATTTTACGAATTTTTTTTTTCACAAAAAATATAAGTGACTTCAGAAAAATGTTTAAGTTGGGCTTTCACAAAAGGTGTATGTTTCAAGAAAATGTACAAATCTTATGACAAACAGTCTTTCACAAAATGAGTAATTTTTCCACCACGGTGTAAGTATTTTCACGAAAAGGTGTAAGTTTTAGAAAATGTGTAAATTTGATGATTTTTTTTTTCACAAAATATATAAGTGACTTGAGAAAAATGTTTAAGTTTGACTTTCACAAAAGGTGTATGTTTCGAGAAAATGTATAAATCTTATGACAAAAATTCTTTCACAAAGGAGTAACTTTTCGGCACGGTGTAAGCATTTTCACGAAAATGTGTAAGTTTTAGCAAAATGTGTAAATTTGATATTTTTTTTTTCACAAAATATATAAGTGACTTGAGAAAAATGTTTAAGTTTGGCTTTCACAAAAGGTGTAAGTTTCAAGAAAATGTATAAATCTTATGACAAAAATTCTTTCACAAAAGGAGTAACTTTACCGCAGCGGTGTAAGTGTTTTCACAAAAAGGTGTAAGTTTTAGCAAAATGTATAAATTTGATGATTTTTGTTTCCACAAAATATATAAGTGACTTCATAAAAATGTTTAAGTTTGGCTTTCACAAAAAGTGTAAGTTTCAAGAAAATGTATAAATCTTATGACAAAAATTCTTTCACAAAAGGAGTAACTTTGCCGTAGCGGTGTAAGTGTTTTCACAAAAAGGTGTAAGTTTTAGCAAAATGTGTAAATTTGTTGAATGTTTTTTTTGACAAAATATATAAGTGAGTTCAGAAAAATGTTTAAGTTTGGCTTTCACAAAAGGTGTAAATTTAAATAAAAAGTATAAATTTTATGGAAAAAGTAATTTCACAAAAGGAGTAACATTTTAAAGTGTTCATAAACACAAAAGGAGTAACATTTCAAAGTATTCATAACCACAAAAGGAGTAACACTTCAAAGTGTTCATAAACAAATTGGGACAACCACTGAACAAATCAAAGGGTTTGTGACCCCCGCTGACCACCCGAGCGTCGGTGGCCTCCGGTGCTCACTGTCGTCGTCACCTCCACGGCCACCGCCGCCTCCACAGCCACCGCCGCCGCAAATCAAAGGTTTTTTTTTCTCTCTGGCTATCGATCTTGGTCTCTCTCTGTCGATGTCGGCCGTCGATGTCGGTCTCTCTCGGTCTGTCTCCAGCGATCTTGGTCTGTCTGTGTCCATGTGGTCTCTTCTCTGTCGATCTCTGTCGATTTGGTCCCTCTCTGTCGATCTCGGTCTGGCTGTCTCTGTCGATTCGGTCCCTCTCTGTCGATCTTGGTCTGGCTGTCTCTGTCGATCACTGTCCATCTAGGTCTCTGTCCATTGATCTTAGTCTATCTCTCTCTGTCTGTCCGTTGCTCTATATTTAAAATGGTTCTCTTTTACATTGACATTCTTCGTTGGATTTGGACTTGGAGTCGCTATTTCAAGCCCTCCCAAACTCATATTCTCTAAAGCGGACTTCTACTGAGAAAAAGACCAAGCCCTCCGAAACGCCCTTCTCTCTCACATTGCCATTATTTGAAGAAGACAAATATAGTTTGATTGGATTTAGGAACTTACAGGTTTTGCGAAGTTACTTACATCTCCCGTAAAAACACTTACACTATTTGTGGAAGGTTAAACATTTGTGAAATAATTTATTTTTTAAAATTTACATCTTTTCGTTGAAATATTTAAACCTCCTATGAGAAGTATCTTTTGTGGAAAAAAAAAATTGATGAAATTTACACATTTTGCCTAAACTTACAGTTTTTCGTGAAAAAACTTACACCGTTGCTGAAAAGTTATCCTTTTGTGAAAGAATTTTTGTAATAAGATTTATACCTTTTATGAAACTTACACCTTTTCTGAAAGCCAAACTTAAACCTTTTTCTGAAGTAACTTACATCTTTTGTGGGAAAAAAAATTCGTAAAATTTATATCTTTTGCTAAAATTTACACCTTTTCGTGGAAGTGCTTATATCTTTTCTGAAAAGTTACTCATTTTGTGAAATGATTTTGAAATTATTGTAAGTTCAAAATGCGTAAGTATTATGTGTAAGTTGTAAAAAAATTTACATCTTTTGTAAAATAAGTTATATCTTTTCTGGAAATTACACCATAGGTGAATGACAACTTACACATGATACTGATATCTTTTGTAAAACAAGTTATACCTTTTCTGAAAGTTACACCATATGTGAAAATTTTTATTCATAAAATTTTGTCATTTACACATAATACTTACATCTTTTGTAAAACAAGTTATATTTTTCTGAAAGTTACACCATACGTGAATGACAACTTACACATAATACTTACATCTTTTGTAAAACAAGTTATAACTTTCTGAAAATTACACCATATGTGAAAAATTTTTACAACTTACACATAATATTTACGCCTTTTGAATTTTTTGACAACTTACACACAACTTACGCCTTTTGAACTTACAATAATTTCAAAATTATTTCACAAAATGAGTAACTTTTTAGAAAAGATATAAGCACTTCCACGAAAAGGTATAAATTTTAGCAAAAGATATAAATTATATAAATATTTTTTTTTCACAAAAGATGTAAGTGACTTCAGAAAAAAGTTTAAGTTGGGCTTTCAGAAAATGTGTAAGTTTCATAAAAGGTATAAATCTTATTCCAAAAATTCTTTCACAAAAGGAGTAACTTTTCAGCAACGGTGTAAGTTTTTTCACGAAAAGCTGTAAGTTGAGGCAAAATGTGTAAATTTCATCAATTTTTTTTTTTTCACAAAAGATATAAGTGACTTCAGAAAAAGGTTTAAGTTGGGCTTTCAGAAAATGTGTAAGTTTCAAAAAGGTATAAATCTTATGACAAAATTCTTTCGCAAAAGGAGTAACTTTTCAGCAACGGTGTAAGTTTTTTCACGACAAAGTGTAAGTTTAGGCAAAATCTGTAAATTCGATGAATTTTTTTTTTTTACAAAAGATATAACTGACTTCAGAAAAAGGCTTAAGTTTGGCTTTCACAAAAGGTGTATGTTCGAAAAAAAAGTATAAATCTGACGAGATAAATAGTTTCACAAAATGAGTAACTTTTTAGAAAAGATATAAGCACTTCCATGAAATGGTGTAAATTTTAGCAAAAGTTATAAATTTGATGAATTTTTTTTTTCACAAAAGATGTAAGTGACTTTTGAAAAAGGTTTAAGTTGGGCTTTCAAAAAAGGTGTAAATTTCAACAAAAAGTATAAATTGTATGAACAAAAAATTATTTCACAAAAGGAGTAACATTTCAAAGTGTTCATAACCACAAAAGGAGTAACATTTCAAAGTGTTCATAACCAGAAAAGGAGTAACATTTCAAAGTGTTCATAAACACAAAAGGAGTAACATTTCAAAGTGTTCATAAACACAAAAGGAGTAA